GTCCAACATTCTGCCATTAAAATGTGATGTTAATTATTACACAAGAATTATGAAAAAATGAAGTTGTATTTTCGCTATTAATTTTAACTTTTTGTATAATAACAAGCTCTTATCCTAATAATATACTTTTGTGGTTTATATTGCACTGCACTATGCTTACTTCTCAGTGGGTCGATCACCCATCTCGTGGCACGCTTGACCACAGAGTTTCTTGGCACCCGTGACCTCAGCTCTGATACGAATTGTTGGATCCCAACGCTGCACTATGTAAAGCATGCTTAACCCTATAGTTCCTTGGCTATCTAGTTGACATATCCTACTTAAAACCAATCCGTGATAAGTAGGTGGACATTAACCATTTAATCACATTCCTTCATAGTAAGTCACATCGTCACGTCTCGAATCGAATAGGGGTTGAACTCGACCAACCTGACCAACGTAACACCCAACATATATCTTTTGTGTATTGCACTGATTTAAAATCTACTATACTAATAAGAGCCCAAGAGAGTTAGGCCTATAATGGGTAGAAAAAATGGCGGTCACAGATTTTAATAAAATGAATGGCTCAGATTGATTAAAAGATTGATCATATTTAAATTTTACACTAAAATTTCTTAAAATACCCACACACCGTTACTAATTCCGTTAAAATTTTAAGAATTGCCGTTAGTTCACCATTAACTTACTCATTGATTTCAATAAAAAAAAAAAAAGTCTTAGGTTCGAACCTCATCCCAATCAAAGTTGGCATAATTAGTACTCTATTTTACTCTTATTAAATTATATAAATAATAATTTAGTAGTTACAACAAAAAATAATACATATGCATTTCTTTAATTTAGAATTATGTGTTCACAATGTCTTTATTCAAAAAAAAAAAAAAAATTATTCATTATCAATAAGTTAAATAAGATAAATAATTTTATTAGTTATATTGTCTTTATTTTTCTTCAATATAAAAATTCTTTATATTCAAATTTATTAATTGATTATATTCGCTACATTGTCCTTACAATGTCTTTATTCAGTGAAAAATAAATTATTAATTATCAATAAATTAATTAAAAGAAATATTTTCATTAGTTATATTGTCTTTATTTTTCTCAAATGTAAAACTTTTTACATTCAAATTCATCAATTGATTATATTCACTACATTATCTATTATCTTTTTTTGTGCACTATTTTTCTAATTAAATATCAAAGTTATAACATAAAATAATGCTATATATTTATTTACCAAGTATTTTATTAATACCATGAAAAAATTAAAAAAATATAATTAATAAAGCCAACCATATTAACTACTTGAGAGATTTTGTGACAAAGAGAGTATTCAAATCACACAACAAGTGAAAACTACCTCGCAATGTCCTTGTTTGACAATCAGCAGTTAGCGGTTAACGTTAGCGGATTTGACCAGCGAATTTATTTAATTATTAACATTAGGTAGAAAAAATGACCGCCAAATTATTAAATCAAATGAATGGTTCATATTGTTCAGGTTTTAATTTTTTTTCTTTTAAGATTTTCTAATTTATCCTTAATTATATGATTATCCATTTAACTTTTCCGTTAATTCACCGTTAGTCTAATATAGAATTATAACTACACCATTAATCTAATTCTAATATTAAAGTCTTAATAGAACTTAACCACAAATCCTAATGTCGGAATCTCCTCAAACAATATTAGTATATATTTCATATTTTATGCCCTAATTTTTATTTGTTCTCCCTTATGTCCCGTATTTGGTTTCAACCATACCTATACAATTATTTTATTGACAATTATAATCAATATTGACTATATTATCTTGCATTTGTAAACTTAGAATTACCTATTTAACCTGCACGGGCTTAGCTCAATGGTTTAGTGGGTAGTATTTGGGAGAAGAGACTAAGGTTTGAACCTCGGCGGCGGCAATGCGTGAATTATGTCCAAAGTGGGCAGATTCCTTGTGCGTACCAGCATTTGGCCCTGTCTGCTGAACCATTGAGTCACCGTGATTTACAACTTCCCACAATGCTCTGTCGGGTCGGAGTGTGGGGGGCCCTTGGGGTTGGGGACTCAACCTTTGGGAGAAGAATTACCTATTTAAATACGCAAATTCAACCTTCAATTATCTATGCATGAATAATTTCAATATAATCTTGCCTTAATATACTTTAAAGTACTTATTTAAAAAAAAAAAAAAAAGCATTGGACATTATTCCAATCGCGCAATGCGCGTAAAAAATTAGTATTTAAATACGCAGTATATGATATCATACCGGATTGTGCAATACTTTCATTGAGCAAGCAAAATGTGAAAAATGTACATACATGTGTATACGTGAATGTGAAAAGTCGTTGCTTGGATACGCAAGTGGAAATTGCTTAAGAAGTCTAGGTTTATTACTTTATTATTATTCAAAAAAAAAATATTACAATATCATACATAAAAATGTCATATTTTAAAAATAGAAAACGATGTATTTATATATTCAATCACTTACAAATTTTATTTAAAAAATTATGAAATTCTCGTTCAATTTTTATTTAAAAAATAATTTTTTTCGGTACCACATTGCAAAATTTTATATGTTTATATCATTTTTATGGGCTACTTAAAATGTGTCTTCATAGGGTTAAGACATAACTTGGCGTAAGGTTATATGTTTGTTCGTTGTCCTTGCTAAACTGTACACCAAACACTTCATTGGACCGTACCGTACAATAATTGTAAACCCCAAAATCGACATTTTCGAAATTTATATGCATGGGATCTGACAAATATTTACGTAATTATATTTTAATACACTTGTCCTTACAATCTTTTCTTTTTATTAAAATGATGATTTATTATAACCTTAGTTAACGTTATTACTTCATTAGACAGCTTAAAACTTGGTGGTCCAATGGCACTAAATTGCTTTCTTATATGGTTGGAGGTTTTGAGATCGAGTCTCTGTGAAGAAACAGAAAAACTGCATTGTGCGTGAGACCGTCTCACGGGTTGGATGCATTATAATAAAGTCTGCATTGTGCGTGAGACCGTCTCACGGATTGGATGCATTATAATAAAGTCAGTAGTATTCAAAAAAAAAAAAAAAAAAAAAAAAAAAAAAAAAAAAAAAAAAAACGCGTGAGACCGTCTCTCGAGTCGAATCTTTGACTGATATTAGTACTAGGCAATCCGTTACAAAATTAGTGTATACTCTATAACCCCTTTAAATTGTTTAGTAGTTCAGGGAATGCATTTAATTTTATTTTTTAATTATTGAAATGACTTTGAAACAACCCTAAAACAACTTTGGAACATTTTATGAAATTTTTATTAGTTGTTTGGGAGGAAAACGTGTTAGAAACATGAAACACACACCCATTTTTAATTTGTGCATCATATATATGACTTTTGAGTGTGGATAGGCTTTAATTTAATGATGTAATTATAGCGGTAATAAGAGTTTAGTATTTGATAGTTATAACATTATAAAGTTGTAGAGAAAATTTCAATTTTGGTCACATGATTATAAAGGATCAAAAGACGATTTTGCCCCTTTGATTATACACTAAATGTTTGATTAATTTTTTCCAGTCAAATTTGACCGTCAATTCAGCCGGAATGATCAAAATTGACAAATATTACATAGTCAAGGTACTAAATTGACACTTTTGAAAGTCAAGTGCTGAAATTAACAATACTCCTATAGTCATGTGATCAAAATTGAAATTTTCTGCATTGTCTTACCAAATAAAATTAATGTTATTTTAAAATTACAAATTCTTATATAATGTATAAAATTAATGAGAGTCGGCTCTACAACTTCTATTTTTCTGATTCAGAAAATGGACCTTAAATTTATTAATTTGTGATAGCTTTAATAGCCTATTAGATTGCACTTATATTTAATATAATAAGTTGTTCAAATTTTTTTTAAACAATAAGTTGTTCAATATAATCTTAGAGAAACTTTAAGAGTAAAATTTGACTATTATAGATAAGCACATTGTGGTTTGATGGCATCATCCTTATTTTTCATAAGGTTTCAAGTTCAAGTTCTACCCCAATTAATGTTGGCATAGTAGGAAAATAATAATTTTACTTTTATTGTTTACAAAAACATAATCTCCTTAACTTTCTAATTATAATAGCCAATATTCTTATTATTATTTACTAGGTATTTTTACACTCAATGCACGAAGGTTTAAGCTCAATATTAAAATCTGTTAACATTATTGAAGAAAAATAAAAATATTTATCAATAAAAAATTTTAAAATATTATTTTAACCCATCATCAAAGTTATACATGTGAAAATCATATATTTTGAAGAAAAAAATATGCAATTTAGTAAATATTATAAATTAATTATTTCCATATGTTTATACTAAAAAAAAAGTAATTTAAATAATAATTGAGCCAATAATTTTTGGGATAAAATTAATATATAATGACTAATAAATTTAGTGTGGTTAATTATTTAGATTGTCATAATATTTGATTTAATTATATTTTTTTTAAATAAAATGATCAATAAATTCTTTAATTACTTATAACATGATACTGACGGGATTATAACAAAATAATGACAATATTGTCAAGTTATAATGTAATGTACAACATTTTAAACTCAATGTATAAATTTATTAGCACTAAAAATAACGGACAAAAACTATATATATATATATATATATATATATATATATATATATATATATATATATATATATATATATATAAATATAACATGAATTCACACTAATGGATTCTAGCTTGAATCACTTTGAGAATGAAAGATGGAGATGTTTATTGATGGGAAGTTCATCTTGAGTTCAACAGAGAAAAACGGAATACATTGTAATGAAGAAGAAGATTACAGAGAGCAGAAGCTTAAGCCTTTAATAGGCAGTTATGGAACAGTAATAACTAACTAAGGGAAGAAGACTAAAAAGCCCTTGCATGCAGCTTGATTATAATTGTTGTGGCACTTTATAACACTTCATCACCCCCCCTTAAGCTGGAGAATGAAGATCCTGAAGACCCAGCTTAGCATGGAAAACATTGAATAGAGGTATGGGCAGTGCCTTAGTGAAACCATCTGCTATTTGTTTGCTTGAAGGAATACTCAACAGTTTTATCACACCTTCATGGACCTTTTGCCTCACCACATGGCAGTCAATTTCTATGTGTTTAGTGCGTTCATGGAACACATGGTTCTCCCCAATTGCCACAGCTGAATTATTGTCACAAAATAGAGGAATGGGATTGCTGCTATCCACTTTCAGATATGCCAACAAGTATAATAGCCATTGCAACTCACAAACAGTTGAAGCCATGGCCCTGTACTCTGCTTCAGATGAAGATCTTGACACAGTAGCTTGTTTCTTTGTCCTCCAAGAGATAAGAGAGTTGTCTAGGTAAATGCAGAATCCTATGATTGATTTTCTGGTCTCTGTACATGTAGCCCAGTCTGAATCAAAGAATCCTTGCAACTTAATCTCAGAATCTGAAGCATAGAACAAGCCTTTTCCAGGAGAACCCTTGAGGTATCTCAGAATTCTATGAGCTGCAACCAAATGTGTACTCCTTGGTTGATCAACAAACTGACTTAGCTGCTGGACAGAATATGATATATCAGGCCTGGTGTTGGTTAAGTAGAGAAGCTTACCAACTAGCCTTCTAAAACATTCAGGGTTATCAAGTAAGGTCCCTTCATCACTGGTTAATTTCATCCCTGTAATACAAGGTGTCTTGGCAGGTTTAGCATCCAAGAACCCATTTTCTTGTAATATTTCTAGAGCATACTTCCTTTGACACAGATTGATGCCATTTGGAGTTCTGATTGCTTCAATCCATAGGAAGTAGTTTAACTGGCCAAGATCTTTGATCTTGAAAGACACATCCAGCATATGTTTCAACTTCTTGATTTGACTAGAATCTGTTCCTGCCACGAGAATATCATCTACATATATGAGCAAAGCCATAAAGGAATTATGTGAGCTCTTAGTGAATAAGGAAGGGTCAGCTTGAGACTGTTGGAACCCATTATCTAGTAAGGCCTTTGTGAGTTTGACATTCCACTGTCTGTTGGCCTGTTGCCATAAAGAGACCTCAGCAATTTGCACACTTGATTGGGCTTGTCACTCTTGAAACCTGGAGGCATCACCATGTAAACATCCTCATTTAGGTCACCATGTAGAAAGGCATTGTTGATGTCAAGTTGTTGAATGTCCCACCCTTTAGCAACAGCCACAGCAAGAAAGGTCTTGATAGTAGTCATTCTTGCCACAGGAGAAAAAGTCTCTAAGTAGTCCACCCCAAGCTGTTGAGTATAGCCTTTTGCAACCAATCTAGCCTGGTATCTCTCAATTGTCCCATCTGCTTTATGCTTTATCTTGTAGACCCATCTACATCCAATAGGAGATTTTCCCACTGGTAAATCAGTTAGAATCCAGGTCTTTGTCTGAGTCAAGGCATCTATCTCTGCTTGCATGGCTTTCTTCCATTCATCATGCTGCACAGCTTCATGATAAGATTGAGGTTCTTGTGTGATTGTGGTGGATGTAACACAGAATTTCTCTATAGGATGAGGAGAGGTTTTCATAGAGTACTCTCTACCTATCATGGAGTGACAATAGTAATCATTTAGCTTGCAGGGAACAGCTCTTACCCTTACTGATCTTCTAGGCTGTAATTAGCTAGTGTGGTCCTGTGAGTGACTATGGGAACCAATTGGATCACCCAATGTCTCATTATGCAGCCCAGAGTTGTCACTTACTATGTGACTATCTAAATCACCATCATTTTCAGTATTTCTGCAATACACTTCATGTCTGGAATTGTTGCTGTCTGTTGCAGTTCTAGGACTGACATTTCTCATAGGCCATCTCACAGGTTCTAGGGGGGTGACTTCTGCTTCAATGGATGTGGGAATCATAGGTAGAGAAGGATTAAGCTCCTCATTCACAGAACTCAGTGGAGATGTTGTCTCTGATTCCCTGAAAGGATAAACTTGCTCATGGAATTTTACATCTCTAGAAACAAAAACACTTTGATCAGCAAGGTCATATAAGATATAGCCTTTTACATTGGCAGGAAAGCCTAGAAAGATACACTTCCTTGCCCTTGATTCCATCTTATTTCTTCCCTGTGGAACAGTGGCACCAAAACATAAACACCCAAAAATTCTGAGTTGATTATAATCAGCCTCTTTTGACTGACTGTTCTTCTCCAACTTGCACTTGATTGTTATAAGTGGCATTAGTCTGAGCAAACTCACTGCATTTTTGACTTATTGATCCCTTGATCTTTCTTTCTAGCTTTAAGGTCATATTTAGAACCCTTTCCATGTCTGGAAGGGGGTCCATGACAAGGACTCCAGATTTAACAGTTTCATAATCTTCGTTTAAGCCTTCTAGAAACCGGATTATCTGGTCTTCCTCCCTTTGTTTCTGCATTCTACTCATGAGAGTGCAAGAACACCTAGGCACACACTCACATAGGAGTAAAGGCCTCAAAGCATTTATTTGTTGCCATAGAGCATTGCTCTTTGTAAAGTATTCATTAACACTCATGTTTCCTTGAACATTTCTAATCATTTCATTTTGAATTTCTGAAATTCTATGGGGATCGGATTGGGAATACCTCTTCTGTAAACTATTCCAAATGTCCGATGCCTTGTCATGATACATGACTCCATCAGCAATGCTAGGGTTTACAGACCTCAATATCCAAGAACATACAATCCGATTGCACCTTCTCCAAGCTGCAATCCTTGGATCGTTCTCTTCAGGAATCGGAATAGCTCCGCTAACAAATCCAAATTTGTTCTTCACATCCAACGCAATTCTCATTGACCTACTCCAAGAGGCGTAGTTGAGCTCGGTGAGTGGAGGTGAAACTAAGCTCAAATTCGGATTCTCTGTAATATGTAGATACAGAGGATCATCAAAGTCCTCAATCCGTTGATTCAAAGAAGGTTGATTCGGATTTGACTGAGCTCCTGCATTTTGCGTCTGGTTCGAATTCCCGTCGCCGATTGGTTCCATCACAACTGCTGCGGCGTAACTTCGGTGACGCTCTGATACCATGATGGATTCTAGCTTGAATCACTTTGAGAATGAAAGAAGGAGATGTTTATTGATGGGAAGTTCATCTTGAGTTCAACAGAGAAAAACGGAATACATTGTAATGAAGAAGAAGATTACAGAGAGCAGAAGCTTAAGCCTTTAATAGGCAGTTATGGAACAGTAATAACTAACTAAGGGAAGAAGACTAAAAAGCCCTTACAGCCAGCTTGATTATAATTGTTGTGGCACTTTATAACACTTCATCACACACGTATAATATTTTTAAATTTAGATTATTGTATAATTTTTAACATTCATATGGTTTCAGTTTGTCTTTTTTTTTTTTTGTTTACCTCATGAGGTACGTTCATGCATGGTCTATGGGGCAAGGAACCAATTGTTATACCATGGACCAGGGTCCACCTTACAAGGTAAACTCAAATCTATAAAATAATTTGTCGAAGGGAACCAATTAGATGTACAAAAAAAATGATAGAACACATTAGTGAGAGGTATAAATATATTTTGTTTTTAGAAAAATAAAATGAACCGATTTACAAGAAAAGTTGAATGGTGTCTAGACATTGGTCCGGCTATGATTGTATATCAATTAAAGTAATGAATTGATTTTTTTAATTTCTATTATTGTAACTGGATTATTTTTATTTAGGTACAATTTAATAAGTAGCTTTATGTGTAATAATAATTGTTGTAATTATTGATGCGTACGTGGGTACGTCTAAGTAATTATGTAAAAACTATATATAATGTCTATATTATTACAATTAAATTTATGATGCAATTAATTTGTAACAAAATCAATGGAAATTTACCCAATATTTTATGTCACTGTATCTTATATTCAGTAGAATTGTACCTCTTGCTTTATTAGAAATATTACGAGAGGGTTTCACCATGTAAAAAAAAAAAAAAAAATTGGCCCTATAGCCAACTTCGGCTTGTCTGACCACTATTAGCTGTTTGATTTGGTTAAACAATCAATATGAGTATTTGATTCATTAGCTTTTTGTAACAACTTATTGCTTAAAAATACTAAAATTCAAAACGTTGCTCAAAACAGTTCTTTCGATCAATGTTTTGAGAAAGTTATTTTGTATGTAATTAACTATCAACTAACAATTAATTTACCAAACATCTTTCTATAACTAACTAATGTTATCAACTAGTCAAACTCATTAACTCAATCAGCTAAAATCTATTTACCAAACACCCTGTCATTTTGTTAATGTATAAGTTATTTTTTCTAAACCTAATTTACCTATGCAACTATATATGCTATATATAAATATATATTATGTTTTGTAAATTAATCTCAATGCAATGTCTTGTTTAAGTGATATTTGATCATCATGGATATACCTCAGATCACATGATGGAAAAAATTATTATATGATGCTAAGTATAACATTAACTCATATATATATATATATATATATATATATATATATATATATATATATATATATATGTACGTGTGTTTACTCAACTCTTTGTAATTCATTGCATATACCCACGAAATCTATAATTTGATTGACATAAAATGTATTATTACTACTAATCATTTGGTTTAGTCTCTAAAGAAGAGACTGAAGCCTGCGGTGGCCCTCTCATGAGTACACCTAAAATTATTGCTGCTTAAAAAAAAAAAAAAAAAAAAAAACAAAAAAAAAAACAAAAAACAAAAAACAAAGAGCAACATTTTTTAGTACTATTATCATATTGATTCTATATATTACATTGTAGTATCTGTTTAATATATTTTCTCAATCAATTATATATACCTCAAAGAATCAGTACCTCACCACTAGGGTTTGATCTTATGACCACCCCTCAAAAAAAGTCACAGAAGTGTCAATTGAGCACAAGATACTTGGCCAAAGAACAACGTTTTAGATACATGCGTTCACAAGAAATCAAATGTATGTTTGGATCAAGCACTTACTACTATGTTGTTTATTGGGGGTCAAACTCGTGGCCCTGATACCCCTTGTTAGGGTCAAGCGCTTGCTACTACGCCAAAAAGTTATAGCTGGTAGTGAAGACGTAACTTTATTTCCTTGTACCACCACATTGTCAAGATGCATAGTGCTAAATTTAGCATATCAAGTCTCCGTTCAACCAGGGCCGTATTTTAACTTTTTGTGGCCCTGTTCTGATAAATAAATGTGGCCCTACTAAAATAATAATTTTTAAAATCAATATATGCAAGTTTGGAACCTTTGACCTCCAAGTGAAAATACACTAAATACACATTCTTACCATCTCTTCATAAAACCTTTTTAGATTTAATTGAAAACTTTTTATTTTTATTTCTAAACTAGTTAGGTAAAAATTAAATATTAGACCTCTAAAATTTGGGGCCCCTCTAAAATTGGGGGCCCTGTGCGGTAGCCCAGCTTGCACAGCCTAAAATCCGGCCCTGCGTTCAACTATATATATAGTCATAAATAAATAAATAAAAAGCTTAAGCTCAAACTCAACTTGATTATTTAAACGAGTCGATTCATCAAGTTCAATTTGATACAATTCGGACCAAAATTTGAGCAATCAACTTACAAGTGACTCGACTTGTTTTCACCCGGTCCCCCTACACTTATACGGGTCTCAAAGGGTCAAATTAAAACTCGTTACCTTGAAAAACAGTGTTTTCTTGTGCACCAACCAATTTTTCCTCATTGTAGTTAATGTTTGATTAAGATAACAAGTATTAAAAAAGGTTGTCTATTTGATCACCTGTTTCAGACACGCATACTCTTAAAATAATAATAATAATATTTGTATTTAGAAACCCCATTTCCGAGTACGTGAGTAGACAAAAGAATTGTATGACAATATGTATGGTTAATTAAGCTGAGAAGAAATTGAAAAAAATGGCACACACAAACCCCACCATTATATTATATATATATATATATATATATATATATATATATATATATATATATATATATATATCTGCGTTCCTGTAAGGATTGAGGAGGCGAGGGAGTAATCAAATCAAATCAAACCAAAATCAAAAGAGACAATAATTCAACAACATATACAGCATTATGGGCCATCACTGTTGCGGCAAACAGAAAGTGAAGAGAGGCCTTTGGTCTCCTGAAGAAGATGAGAAGCTCATCAAACACCTCGCCACTCATGGCCATGGCTGTTGGAGTTCTGTCCCCAAACTTGCAGGTACATCTATCTATCTATCTATCTTCCATCAAATCATGCATTTTCGTAAGACCGTCTTATAGAAGATCAATTATTCCTCCTCCCAGCACCTATCAGTCTTACATATTTGATAGCACTTGTCAGAATTAAGCATTTACCATTACGCCAAAAGCTATAGCTCACTACCGCCATCACATTTTCAAGAGGCAGGGTTGGAATTAGCCCTTCACGGACTTCTGCCCAAACAATCCTCTAGTGACTAATTGCTGAACTTGTCCTTTTACCAGCCTTTGCCTAATTGCGGGTGGTGTGCATCAAAATGTGACGTTAACCTGCAATTATAAAGAAATATAGTTATTAGTTATAGTTTTTTAGTCGGATCGGAGGCTTGAAGGACCAGGTCCAGTATCAGCATTTGATTGTGAGAATTTGAAAATTTTCAGGGTTGCAGAGGTGTGGGAAGAGTTGCAGATTGAGGTGGATAAATTACCTGAGGCCGGATCTGAAGAGGGGATCATTCACAGACCAAGAAGAGAGGACAATCATAGATGTTCATAGGATTCTGGGCAACAGATGGGCACAGATAGCCAAACACTTGCCTGGGAGGACTGATAACGAGGTCAAGAATTTCTGGAATTCTTGCATCAAGAAGAAGCTTCTTGCACAAGGCTTAGACCCCAACACACACAATCTCCTGTCCTCTAGTCCAGCCAAGAATCCCAAGATTAACAAAAACAACAAACCCATCAATTCCCAACATTTCACTGTCGACCAAAACTCCCCTCCCAAAGATGAACTCCTCCACATTCCCCTAGACTTCAAAGCCTCCATTAATGCAGCCCTCACTTGCATTCCTAGCGCTAATAATGAGCCCCATAAGCATTATTATCCCTTAAAATTTAAATATGGTCCGACGGGTGGCTACCAGTACCAAAACCCATCGATGGGTTTTGGTACGAGCTGCTCTTCGGTCGAGAGCACTTCAAACAACCTCTCCTTTTCTCCTTCTTCGTCTTCCTTGAACCCCGGGTTGGGAGCCATGAATGTGGAGAATTCCATGTGGGGAACCAGCCCGTTTGAACCGCAGGTCGGACCGGACCGGTTTGTTCATCAACAACAACAACAGGAAATGTACAAGGTTAATAGTACTGAGTTCTGTAGCAATAATGTGCAGAATATGGAGATGGTGAACACCTTTGACGACAGCTCTGACTTTGACTTCGACTTTGGGGATGATTCTGCACTGTTGCCCTTAGCAGTGTACTGTGATGCCAATTCTATGGATCAACTTACATGGGATAATTGCTGATTTTGTTTTGGTTTTTTTTTTTTTTTTTTTTTGGGTATGACATTCTAGGAATTGAGCATTGACAATTTAATTAGTTTGATACTTGATAGGTTTGTGTATTTGATCTGATTGTTTACATTTAATTTCATAGTTAAATTGAAAAAATATAGATATCTTAAACCATGCATATTAGTTTATTATTACTATATATCAAATTTTAAATTCAACATTGTGAGTACAAAAAGCTTGGACTTTTTATTTTTCACATGGAAAAGAAGATATAGGGGGTGTTTGGTAAATAGTGTTAGCTGATAGTTGTTAACTGATTGGTTAGTGGGTTTGACTAGTTCATAATATTAGCTGATTGTAGAAAACTGTTTGGTATATTAGTTGTTAGCTAATATCTGATTACATTCAAATGACTTTCTCAAAAAGCTGATCAAAAAAGTTGCTTTGAACAACTTTTTGAATTTTAGCATTTTGGAGCAAATTAGTTGTTACAAAAAGCTAATTAATCAAACGAACGCTCATATAGTCATATGAGGGCAAAGTGAGAGTAAATGTGCTCTTGTATACAGTCAAATGAATGAGCCCCCTGGTGCTCGTGCCCGTGTTGGACTTACTGGACTAACTATTGCCGAGCACTTCAAAGATGCTGAGGGTCAAGATGCGCTTCTCTTTATCGACAACATTTTTAGGTTTACCCAAGCCAACTATGAAGTCTCTGCTTTGCTTGGGTGTATCCCATATGCTGTCGGATATCAACCAACTTTGGCTACCGATCTTGGAGGCCTTCAAGCTAAGAACGTATCACAACTACTAAGAAAGGTCCAATTACATCTGTGCAAGCTATTTATGTGCCTGCTGATCCTGCTCCTGCAACAACCTTTGCTCACTTGGATGCCACAATTGTGTTGTCCCGTCAGGTTGTCGATCTTCTTGCACCATATCAAAGGGGAAGAAAAATTGGGCTTGTTGGTGGTGCGGGAGAGGGGAAAACTGTGCTTATTATGGAACTGATTAACAACGTTGCCAAAGCTCATGGTGGTTTCTGTGTCTTCGCTGGTGTTGGTGAGCGTACTAGAGAGGGTAATGATTTGTACAGAGAAATGGTTGAAAGTGGTATCAGAGCGAGACGTACTTATATTGTTGCGCGTTATGGTGGGATCCTCAGGGGGGTGAGGATAAGCACGTTGGCGTGAGGGGTGCGCACGTGCTGATGACGGCTCCACTCCGTTGGTCCGCAGGGGGCGGATGAGTCCTAGCGAGGAAAGGGGACTCGGGTGGCCGCCAGCTTAGTCGGACTACTCTTCGTGAGATGTCCAGGCGTTTGCGACGCGTATGCAATATTTAGTATGGCAATACTTGGGCAGAGGTCATCTCCCCCTAGCACGAGGGCGTGCTAGATGTTAGGCGGATGAGAGTCTCATGGACTGTTTTTCCGTGACCGTGTTAGACCCAAAGAATGTGTAAACGGCCAACTGGTTAGCAATGTCATGCAGGTGAAGGGGGTGTCAATAGCGTTAAGGGTTGTTCTCCCTTAGACGCTAAGGTCTTGCCGAGTTAGACACGCCGACCCGATTAAGTTTGGGAAGTTTGTCGCTAGTCTTGGGCTTGACTATGAAGGGGACCGATGAGATTCGAATGGCACAACTGGTTGGGAGCTGTTGTCGCTTCCCTGATGAGCCCATGGCAGGGCGAAACCAGATTGGCTTGTATGTGGGTAAAGGTTGATCCGCGGGGTATGAGGGGCCCCGGGATGCCGCACAGGCGTTGTGCATTGCACCGGACTCTATGCTCGTGTCAAAGTGGTACTAGAGTGGGACGTACTTATATTGCTCGATCAAAGATGGCAGCTCTCGGTTCTGATGATGGCTCTGATACCAGATGAAGATTGTAATATCTGAATGACTCAATAACAAGTCTGTACGGGAGAGTATATGAGTACAAGAATATAAGACCTACTACAAGACAAACACTATTAGGGATAGACTTCTAACAATATTGATGGTTTAATCAAGTCAAACAGCTAGTAGTGATTAAATAAGTTAAAATTGGTTGATAAGCTAACTACGTTACCAAACATATCATAATTGCTAAAATGTTGAATAAATTTGAGCCAAACGACCCTACGACGCAGAATTTGCCGCTAGTAAACACCAAAGACCTTATGCGGGATTGAGGGTTGTTAACAATTTTTACACTAAATGTGTTGGTATTATGAAAAACGACGCAACCTAATTGGAAATGATAACTACGCATACAAAAACTTGATGATGATAATATTACAGAATAATGGTGCTTAATTCGATCTAATTGGCAATTGTTATACGGTGGACCATGCTTTAAAAATGACGTCGTTTCTTTGAGTAAAGAAATGTCGGACTTTATATTTAACTATTCTCGTATGATGTGTTCAAAATAAAATGAAATTACAGTTTATCTAAAATTAAACTGAATAACATATCTCACATATTGAGTATATATTGCCAAACGAAATTATAGTTGAATTAGAATGATACTTTAGTCAGGGGCACATCCAGACATCTTCTCCAGTGGAGGCGAAAGATTAAAATTAATGAAATATTTTGGAAAACAAAAATGAAACACATAGAAATCGAGTCATAAATATTGTTGACTAGAAATGAAAAATCAATATACATCAAGATTAAACAAATGTTTAGAACAAAATATAAAACATATTTTATTAGCAAAGGAAAAAGAAAAATACAAAAGTATTATTGACTGAAGATGAAAAATCAAAATACATCAAGATAAAAAAAATGTTTAAAACAAAATATAAAACATATTTTATTAGCAAAGGAAAAAGAAAAATACAAAAAAAAAAAAAAAAAAAAAAAAAAAAAAAAAAAAAAAAGAAGAAGAGAGAAAAGTCACCTATAAGATTCCACCATCAATATAGTATGAAATAATGGTTTTATGCCCGCACAAGCTTAGTCCAATGGTTCAGTAGTAATATTTGAGAAAAGAAATAATGATTTTACCATCTAAATCAAATCAACAAAATATAATACATTATTTATTGAATTTAAAGGGTCAATTTAACACTTATTTATATAAAATAAAAATAACTCCGGTTTTTTTTTTTTTTTTGAGAGGAAAATTACTCCGGTTAGTACTACATAAATATCAGGACATTCTCTCCCTTTCAGTGATGGTGTCAAATCGAAGCATTCATCAGAAAGTTAATCAATTGCATATAAAACAACAATGATTTTGTCTGGAACAGCTTTCCAATTCTTTTTATTACTCACGTCTACGGTCGATTTGAGTTTTCGAGAAAGTATATATACATTTTCCATTCATGTTAAAACACCTCTTAACGTAAAAACATGCGTACTTTTTTAATAATGTACAATAAATTCTTTATAAATGTACAATAATTATTCAAGCTCTGTGATTACAACATAAATACACTGCACACATAAATGCACGAAAATTACTACAAAAATGCACGTTGCATTCATGTAGTGGTCACAGAGTTGGAGTAGTTATTGTACATTCATGTAGAATTTACCGTGCATTACTGAAAAAGTCCACGTGTTCTCACCTGTAAATAAATCTATATATATATATATATATATATATATATATATATATATATATATATATATATATATATATATAGGTGATCCAGTTTCGCCAAGAGTCACTGCAAAGGTAAATCGTGAGTCATGCAAGCATTCTACTAGTTAGACCATAGGCCTTTTTTCTTATTCATGTGGGGGTGTTTAGCAAATAGTTGTTAGCTGATAACTGTTAGCAGATTGGGTTAGTGAGTTTGACTAGCTGATAGCATTAGTTGGTTGTAGAAAGATGATTGATTAATTAGTTGTTAGCTGAAAATGACCTTTAAAAGTATAATTTATTTTTTCACAAAAAGCTTATCGAAAAAGCTGCTTTGAGCAACTTTTTGAACTTTAATTAGCGTTTTGTAGCAATAAGTCGTTAAAAAAAAATGATTAACTAAATATTCATATTGATTGTTTAACTTTAACTAATGGTCAAACAAATCAAAATTTAACTGATAAGCTAATTATGTTGTTAAAGAACGCTAAATGTGGAGAGAGATGTCATTGGTAGTCTCTTTTAAAAATATGTTGCAGACGTTCTCTCTATATACACGCACAAGTTAGTTTGGTTTGTTTTAATTAGATTGCCTTTCGTTTCGTGACAGTAAACAATGTACTTTTATTCTTTTTTTTTTTTTTTCATTTCTGGTTTTATGGGATAAATAATGGTGTTTGTTGATACACCAAAAAGTTGGAATTGGATTTTGTATTACGATTTAATTGTGTTTGTCCACTAAGGAGAAGGAGAAGAAGAAGACGCTTCAATTATGAGAAAATAAATACACATCAGATAAAAGTTCGAAAGGAATTTGACAATTGATACCTCCAAATCAATAGAAAAGAAAGAAAAGATACACATGTAAGTAATTATGTCAATTATATTTAAAAAAATAATAATAATAACGTGTTAAAAGTAAAATTTATATTTCTTTGTTTCAAGTAAATGGATCACATATTTGAAATACCACTTCGAGATGGCGAATGGGCTGAATCATGCATTGGGCTAGCTTAGTCTAATAAGTAAAACAACGCCGTTTTTGCATCTGTGTGCACCATACATGATGCAAAGTATAATTTGCCGCATAATCAATTATGCACCACTGTGCACGATATAATATGCAGTGCGAAATGGCATCGTTTTCGGACCGTGGTCCACACACAATTGTGTAGACCACGATCCACGCAATAACTATTGGGCTAGCCATGACTTGTACATTAGAATTTGATCAAATCAAAGATAAAATTAATCCAATTATTTTACGTATTTTAATAGAGAAAATTTCAATTTTGGTCCACTGACTATTGCACTTGTGTTAATTATAACACTTGACTTCCAAAACTGTTAATTTAGTACCTTGACTATGCAATTTTTATCAATTTTGGTCACTCCGACCAAATTGCCGGCCAATTCTCGCTGGAAAAACTTAATTAATCAATTAATATTTAATCTGAGGGGTAAATTAGTATTTTTAATTAGAGTTAATACCATCTGAGGTCCTCCGAGTATAGTGGTTTTGCCACGTTTAGTCCTAAACTTTTAAATTGACCATTTATGGTCCTTCGACTTTCAAA